GGCACTCTACCCAGGGGGACAGCTTGAGGCTCTGTCTCAAAAAAAAAAAAAAAAAAAAGAAAGAAAGAAACATACCCATCAAAGAAAATACGGATGAACCCCTAAAATGGGTGTCATTGGCTTGGAGCCTGTGGCTCAAGTGGCTAAGGTGGCGGGTTCAAACCCAGCCTGGCTCGCCAAATAACGATGACAGCTGCAACCAAAAAAAAAAATAGCCGGGCGTTGTGACGGGCACCTATGGTCCCAGCTACTTGGGAGGCTGAGGCAGGAGACTCGCTTGAGCCCAGGAGTTGGAGGTTGCTGTGAGCTGTGATGCCATGACACTCTACCCAGGGGGATAGCTTGGGGCTCTGTCTCAAAATAAAATAAAATGAGGGTCATTAACCTTACCTGTAAACTCTAGCATGGTCCTCGTGATTACATTACATGCTCTCTTTTATCCTAGCAATACTACATGTAGATATCTGTCCTAAGGAAATAATTAGCCAAGTACATACCAATTTATGTTCCCAGCAAAGATGTACCCAACAAGGTAGTTTATACTAGCAAAATATCAGACACAACCTAAATGTCCCTCAGTAGGGTTCTGGTTAAATTAGTTATGATCAAGCCCCAGTCTGTGTATACATGAAGCCATGAAGTAGGGATGGGTGAGTTTAGCTGATGGTAAGTTTTAAGTCCCCCCTCACTTCAGAGCCACTCCAAAGTTTGGTGACTTGGAGCAAGTTTGTTTTGTTTCCCAGGATCTGCTTCTCATCTGTAGAATGGGCAGGCTGATCTCAATGTGGGAATTAAATGAAATAATCACATCAAGTATACATCAATGTGGGCTGCCACACAGTACTTTGCTTAGTAAATGTTACCAACTTTGTTCATTGTCAAGTATACAAGGCCTTAGAACAATATATGTATAATACAGTCCTGTTTATGTTTTTATTTCATTTTATTTTTTTGAGACAGAGTCCCACTATGTCGCCCTCAATAGAGTGCCGCTGTGGTGTCACAGCTCACAGCAACCTCAAACTCTTAGGCTTAAGCAATTCTCCTGCCTCAGCCTCCCAAGTAGCTGGGACCACCGGCACCTGCCACAATGCCCGGCGATTTTTTTGTTGTAGTTGTCATTGTTGTTTAGCAGGCCCGGGCTGGGTTTGAACCTGCCAGCTCTGGTGTATGTCACTAGCATACTAACCACTGAGCTATGGGTGCTGAGCCCTGTTTATGTTTTTAAAGGAGTATATGTGTTTATAGGAGTATAAGAGGGCAGGCGAGGTGGCTCACATCTGTAATCCTAGGACTGTAGGAGGCTGAGGTGGGTGGATTGCTCGAAAAAAACTAGCTGGGCTTGGTGGTGCACACCTGTAGTCCCAGCTATTAGGGACTCTGAGGCAAGAGGATTGCTTGAGCCCAGGAATTTGAGGTTGCTGTGATCTGTGACACCATGGCACTCTAGCCTGGGCAACAAGGTAAGACTTTGTCAAAAATAAATAAATGAAAAAGTATAAGAAACTGGGTGTGGTGTCATGTACCTTTAGTCCCAACTGCTCAGGGGCCAGGAGGATCACTGGAGCCCAGGAGTTTAAGGCTGCAGTGAACTGTGATGATACTACTACTCTCCAGCCTCAGCAGGAGACCCTCTCTGTTAAAAAAAAAATTATAATAAAAAACATAGAAGTATAAGAAACAGACGCTATCCTTGGGGGAGTAAGATCATGGACAGACATCTGCTTTGTGTTTTCTAAAGGTTTGTTTTGGGTTTTTAGAATGAACAAGTTATTATGATTTAATTTATGGGGAGGGGAAAATCACCCATATTCTCTGGCCCTTATCATTGGGCTCTTGGTTTGGCTTTGGTAAAGTGAGGCCTGTTGGGCAGGAGGGTGCCCAGGGTCATGCTGTATCCTTGTCTCATGCTCTAGCAATGGAACTGGCCCAGGCAGATAGAACAGTGGAGTCCAAGATCTATGACACGCTTCAGTGGCAGGTAAGGGTCAGCAGGGGGTGAGGGTGGGTAGGAGAGTGCAAAGGCACTGCTTGCTGGGTGTCACTCTGTTATCATTCCTGCCCTTCCCAGATCTGGACCCTCCTGCCTGGGTTCTGCACGAGGCCCACAGATGTGGCCACTTCCTTCAAAGGGTTGGCACGGACGCTGGGCATGGCCATCAGCGAGCGCCCAGACCTGAGGGTTACTGTATGCCAGGCCCTTCGTACCCTCATCACCAAGGGCTGTGAGGCAGGTATGTGTGTGATCTGGGCCCTGGGGTGGGGGCTGGGGAGAGGATGACCTAGGTTCCCCATTGCCACCCACTGCCTGCAGCGTTCCCTGCCAGGCAGAGCCACAGAAACTCTGTAGTACATCCTTTGCTGCTTCAGCTGGGAACTCAAGGAGTTATTAGAGACTGAAAAGTGCCCCCCCCCTTTAACTCCTTGTGTGCTGACAGCTACTTCTGATTGGTTCCGTCAGCATAGGAGGTTACATTGTGTGGCTGGCACTTTGCTGGCTCCCAGGGTAGAAGCCACAGAAGGAGCACAGACCACTGTGGCACCTCTTATCCCTGCCCTGGCCTCAGTCTCTCCTGTCATAGAGATGCCCCAAATCTGTGGGTTCCATATCCTACCACAGTGTCCCCTAAGAGAAGGCCTCTGAGCTACAGTGTCCCTGTGGCCACTGAAGTGGAGTCAACTCCTGTCCCTTTGTTGTCTGTTTTGCCATTGTTCTGCTCACCACTATACTAAGAAGGATCTTGTCCCTTTCATATTGACTTTGGGCTGGGTGCAGTAGCTCACACCTGTAATCCTAGCACTCTGGGAGGCTGAGGCCAGTGGATTGCTTTAGCTCCGGAGTTCAAGACCAGCCTGAGCAAGAGCTAGCCAGGGGTCCTCAAACTTTTTAAACAGGGGGCCAGTTCACTGTCCCTCAGACTGTTGGAGGGCTGGACTGCGGGCCCTGGGATGAGTTGGCTGCTAAGCAGAACAGGCAGTGGTGGCAAAAACACCCGGTGGGCAGGATAAATGTCTTAGGCAGGTTGCATATGGCCCGTGGGCTGTAGTTTGAGGACGCCTGAGCTAGACCCATCTGTATTAAAAATAGAAAAACTAGGGAAGGAAGGCCTCTCTATATACATGGAAAAGCCCACGTGTGGAGTTCCCCACCTTCCAACATTGCAACAACAAGACAACCACGACATGTGGGCGGAGTCAGGCAATACTGTGTGCAAAGTAAACTACCTCAAGGTTTGAAGTTAAAAAAAAGAGGGGGGGACAGTGCCTGTGGCTCAAGGAGTAGGGCGTTGGCCCCATATGCTGGAGGTAGTGGGTTCAAACCCAGCCCCAGCCAAAAACTGCAAAAAAAAAAAAAAAAGAAAAACTGAGCGTTGTGGCAGACACTTGTAGTCCCATCTACATGGGAGGCTGAGGCAAGAAGATTATTTGAGCCCAAGGGTTTGAGGTTGCTGTGAGCTATGATGATGCTACAGTATTCTACCCAGGGTGACTAAGTGAGACCCTCTCTCAAAAAATACCCAAAGGCCAGGCATGGTGGCACATGCGTATAATCTTAGTACTTTGGGAGGCCAAGGCAGGTGGATTGCCTGATCTCACAGGTTTGAGATCAACCTGAGCAAGGCATGCACGAGCACTAGTGAGGCCTTTGCCTGTCTCTAAAAATAGTAGGCATTGTGGTGGGCACCTATAGTCCCAGCTACTTGGGAGGCTGAGGCAAGAGAATCAAGAGCCCAGAAATCTGAGATTGCTATGAGCTCTCATGAGCACTTTACCAAGGGTGACAAAATGGGACTCTTGTCTCCAAAAAAAAAAAAAAAAAAATGAAACAGGCTGGGTGCCGTGGTGCGTGCCTGTAGTCCCAGCTACTCAGGAGGCTGAGACAGGATTGCTTGAGTCCAGGAGTTCTGGGCTGTAGTGCGCTATGTCAATCGGGTGTCTGCATTAAGTTTGGCATCAATATGGTGACCTCCTGGGAGCAGGGGACCACCAGGTTGCCTAAGGAGGGGTGTACCGGCCCAGGTCGGAAACAGAATGGGTCAAAGCTCCTGTGCTAATCAGTAGTGGGATGGCACCTGTGAATAGCCACTGAACTCCAGCCTGGACAAGATAGTGAGACCCTGTCTCTTAAAAAATAAAAAAATTAAAAAAAAAAAAAACAGGCTGGGTGCAATGGCTCATGCCTGTAATCCTGCCACTCTGGGAGGCCGAGATGGGTGGATTGCCTGAGCTCACAGGTTCAAGATGAGCCTGAGCAAAAGCAAGACCCTGTCTCTAAAAGAAAAAAAAAAATAGCTGTGTGTTATTGCAGGTGCCTGTAACCCCAGCTACTTTGGAGGCTGAGGCAAGAGAATCACTTGAACCCAGGAGTTTGAGATTGCTGTGAACTATGACAACATGGCACTGATACCAAGAGAGACCAAGTGAGATCTATTTAAAAAAAAAAAAACAAACTCTTTGATCTTCTTGCCAGACACTGACCGTGCTGAGGTGAGCCGCTTTGCCAAGAATTTTCTGCCAATCCTCTTCAACCTATATGGCCAACCTAGTGCAGCTGGGGACATTCCAGCTCCTCGCCGGGCTGTGCTGGAAACCGTCAAAACTTACCTCACCATAACCGAGTGTCAGGTGAGCTACTGGAGGGAGGGAGGAGAGGATTGCTTTTGAGTGGACTATGTGTCAGGGTGGGTGTGTTGGACAGGCTAAGAGGACGGGACCGCCACATATCAGTAGTCATGGCTAGAACTGACCTGGAGGCTTCTAAATGGTGGGGAGGCTATTCTGGGAATGCTGCTCTGTATCTCTCACCTCTAAAACTCTCTTCTTCTCACCCCCTTGGGGCTGCCAGTTGGTGAATGGTTTCTTGGAGAAAGCTAGTGAGAAGGTGCTTGACCCTGCCAGCTCCGACTTCACCAGGTAATGTTCCCAGGGCTCCCCCGCAGGGGTTGGAGGGTACATCACCAGAAGACTGGTGGATTCACTCTGGAATAATTCAGGGGGGAGTATTGAGATAGTGAATGTCTCAGCTCTACCAGAGGGACTTTTTTTTTTGAGAGTAGAAAGAGGGGAAATTCCTCGTTTATTTTCTAAAGCTGTCTCCCAGAGCCCATAAAAGGACTACTGCAGGGATGGAAGAGACCCCAATCCCTCCAGCCAAAAACCTTTTAACACTTGACTCCAAAAACTAAGGCTGGAGCTGTGGGACTACAGAGGGGCATTAGGCACAGATATAAGGGGCACACATCTACAGAGGGGACACCCCAGCCCTCCAGATCTTCCTCCAGCCCCTTTTCTTTTGCAGCCATACTCCTAGGCCTCCAGAGACAGCCACAAAAAAATGGCTCTCAGGAGGGCTTTGGTTTCCCAGATCCCTATAGATCTTAGTGCATAAGATTCCAAAAAGTGAGCCATCCAGGCTCTTCTGCCTGCCCACCTCAATTCTTTTTCTGCCCTTAGGAACCATCATGTATCAGAGGGACCTTTTAGCCTGCTAGAGAGAAATAAGGACCCTGGTTCAAACCCAGCACCAGGCTGGGCGTGGTGACTCACACCTGTACTCCTAGCACTCTGGGAGGCCAAGGCAGGTAGATTGCTTGAGCTCATGAGTTCAAGTCCAGCCTGAGAAAAGCAAGACCCATCTCTACTAAAAATAGAAAAACTGAGGCGAGAGGATTGCTTGAGTCCAAGAGTTGGAGGTTGCTGTGAGTTATGATGCCATGGCACTCTATCCAGAGTGACAGCTTGAGACTCTGACTAAAAAGGAAAGAAAAAGAAAAAACAAATCCCAGCATTATCACTTATAGGCTGTGTGACCTTGTATAAGTTACCTACTCTGCCTCTGAGTCCTCATCTGCAAAATGGGCATGATAATAGTACCTACACCAGATTGCTGTGTGAGGATTAAAGGAGCTGACATGTGTAAATACCTGGAACAGTGCCGGCCACGACACGGGTGCTTGATTAGGTGCTAGCGGTGATTACTGTCACACACTCCTTCAAGACTCCTTGTCCTCACTCCGACTTCTCCCACTTCCTCGTATTCAGTAGACAGAAATAAGAATACAGATTGTCTGGGTTCTTCTGCTGGGTTCTGGGTTCCCCTCGAGCCCATTTGGTGTCCTGCCCCTGAGCAGATTATCTGTCCTGGACCTGGTTGTGGCCTTAGCTCCTCATGCTGACGAAGCCGCCATCAGCAAGCTCTATTCTACCATGCGGCCCTACCTAGAGGTGAGCCATGCTTGAGGAGATGGATCCTGGGCAGGTGGGGCCTGTCTTGTCTTCATCTTTTGCTGCTGCCACAGTGAGGCCCCTGACTGCTTTCTCCTATAGTGGGGTCCCTCTGGTACACAGTCTAGCCTGTCTGACTGGCACATGGGTGCCAAAGTGGCTGAAATGCACAGCTGTGCTCTCAGGGAGTTGTTAGCAGCTACCTAACAGTGAGAGGTGTTCTGGGTGGAGCATGCAGGTAGATACAGAAGTCCAGGACGGGGCCACTTCACCTCAGGAAAGGTGACAGAACAAGGCATAGGAAAGAGAAGTGCTCCACAGGCAGAGCAGCAGGTGCACAGGCTGCTGGAGCATGTGGTGCTTAATGAGTTGGGGTGGGGTTCATACCCACCCTCCACCCCCTGGACAGGAGTTAGCAGCTTGCTGTTCAGATTGCACAGGCCCTATTAGGTCTCCTGAGCCCCAAATGAGCAGGGCCAGCTTCTACCCTGAAGCCCTCCAGTGCTAGCAGTTCATGATGGGTGCTCTGATGCTCTGAATGGCATTGGATGGGATGAAGCCCCAGTAGACCCCTGTCTACTACGCACCCTCCTAGAGTAAGGCCCACGGGGTACAGAAGAAGGCCTACCGAGTGCTGGAGGAGGTGTGTGCCAGCCCCCAGGGCCCTGCGGCCAGCTTCGTGCAGAGCCACCTGGAGGACCTGAAGAAGACCCTGTTGGACTCCCTGCGGAGCACGTCTTCGCCCGCCAAGAGGGTGAGGGCCCCGGGGCACCTGCTGTGCTGAGGGAGGCTGGGCAGCTCCAGGAGAGAGGCTGCTATGGAGGCTAAGGGGCGTGGGGTAACACTGAGGGGGCCTGACTGTTAGCCCCCGCCCGCAGCCCCGTCTGAAGTGCCTCATACATATTGTGAAGAAGCTCTCAGCTGAGCACGAGGAGTTCATTGCTGCCCTAGTCCCAGAGGTGAGGAGATGTGTGTTGTGGGGGTCCCTAGAGTGTGGCTTCCAAGGGCCTGTCAGGATCCAGGGAGGGTGGTTATGGAAGTAGGGGTGGGCACGTGGGGTGCCCTCTTTCCTTCTCTCAGCCTCAAGCAGCCAACCCCAGGTGGGTGGCTCTCGGAGCAAGTGCTAACAGGGCTGTCTTGCTCAGGTGATCCTGTGCACCAAGGAGGTGTCAGTGGGTGCACGCAGTAACGCTTTTACCCTGCTTGTGGAGATGGGCCATGCTTTCCTGCGCTTTGGCCCAAACCAGGAAGGTGAGGCCCAGGTGATATAGGCTGGGGGTGGATGGTATGCTCAGGATTGGGAGAGTCCCCCCACAAAACAAAAAGGGAGAGCTCCCTGCCCTAGCCCTGGTTCCCCTCCCTATCCTGGGTTGACTTGCCCTGGTCTCTCTCCCAGAGGCCTTGCAGCGCTACCTCATTCTGATCTACCCTGGCCTCGTGGGCCCCGTGACCATGGTCAGCTGCAGCATCCTGGCCCTCACCCACCTCCTCTTCGAGTTTAAAGGTAAATGCCTTGACAGCCTGGGAAGCCCTCAGGGTTGGAAAATGCCCAAAAGGACAGGGTAGCCGCAGGAAGTGAAGGAAGATGCCAGGAGGGAGGAAGAAAAGATGGCATCCTGCCCCACCTGCCTCCCTGTCCCCTTCCTACAAGGCTGTGGCTTCCTCCCCTGCAGCTGTGCGAGGTGCCCTCCTCACATCTGCCCCTCAATGTAGCTGTGTAGTCTAGTTGCCCCATGTCCTGCAGTAGAGTAGTTGAGAGGAGGTCTGGGCTGCTGCCTAGATTTTATTCCTGGTCCTGCCTCTTGGCAACCTCATAATACCTTGAGCAATTTTATTGACCTCTTGGAACCTCAGTATTTTTTGTTTTTTGTTTTTTGAGACAGAGTCTCACTGTCACCCTGGTTAGAATGCTGTGCTGTCATCATAGCTCACAGCAACCTCAGACTCTGAGCTTGAGCAGTCTTCTTGCCTCAGCCTCCCAAGTAGCTGGTCCTACAGGTACCTGCCACAACACCCGGCTAGTTTTTCTATTTTTATTTATTCATTTATTTTATTTTATTGTTTCACTTTGTCACCCTTGGTAGAATGCCATGGTGTCATAGCTCACAGCAACCTCAAATTCTTGGGCTTTAAAGATTCTCTTGCCTCAGCTTCCTGAGTAGCTGGAACTATAGGCACCCACAATAACACTCCCCTAGTTTTTCTATTTTTAGTAGAGATGGGATCTCAACTCTCACTGTGGCTGGTCTCTAACTCCTGAGCTCAAGGGATCCTCCTGCCTCAGCCTCCCAGAGTGCTAGGATTACAGGTGTGAGCCACCGAACCTGGCTGAGCACCTCAGTTTCCTACCTAAAATGGAGGAGAGAAATAACATTTACCTCAGGGTAGCTAAGGGACTGGAGGCTACTCTGTGGAGAGAGATGGCATGCAGAAATGCTCCCAGTGGCTGCTTCTACTGACATTTAGCCTGAAAGGGGCAACTGGCAGCTGTTTTTCCCCATGGAGGGGTCTTGGGTCTGGGTGGGGTTCTGGGTGTCGGGAACAGCAGTCCCCCCTGCTGCCACAGGTCTGATGGGGACCAGTACGGTGGAGCAGCTGCTGGAGAATGTGTGCCTGCTCTTGGCCTCCCGCACCCGAGACGTGGTCAAGTCTGCCCTGGGCTTCATCAAGGTGGCAGTGGTTGTCATGAATGTGGCACATCTGGCCAAGCACGTGCAGCTGGTGGTGAGTGCCTCCCTTTTGCTGCAGTGGGTCGCAGGATGACTCTGAGCTGCCATCAAGGGCCTAGTGGGCCTCAAGGCCAGCATGTTTCACTTTTTTTTTTAGCCAAAGGGTAATTAAGGAGCCCTGGAAGAGACCCATAGGGGAAAGCCAATCCAATGGGGGCCAGGAGCGGGCATGGTACCCATGCTGCCTCTGATCACCCCCAGAACCCTGCATGGAAGCAAGGGCTCTGCAGGACAAAGACCAATGGGCAGGGCCACCCTTCATCTTACAGACCAAGAACTGACGCCAGAGATTTCCAAGGTCATGGTGCTAGTCAGCAGCAGCCTTGAGACCAGAACCCAAGGGTTGGGACTTGGGCTCTGGGCTTTTCCTCTAGGGCCTCTCAACTTGCTCTCCTTGCCGCTATCTTGCATTCTGATCTTCCTGGCTTGAGGAAGTTCCTCTGGATGCCCCAGCTGGGCTGCAGAAGGATCTAAAGAGCCCTTTGGCACTGGGTCCCTGGCCACCTCCCCTCCAAGAGGAACCTAATTCAGGCTTGCTATAGGCTAGGATGGCCCTCCAAGCCCTCTGCACCGCTGGGTCGAGTTACATCAGGATTCCAAGTCCCTCTTGCATGTATCTCTTCAGGTCTGACCTTGGGTTCAAGACAGGAGGGAGTTGATGAGAATCAGCAGGTCCTGCCCCTGCCTGCCAAAGCCTGTAGCCTACCTGGGAACTGGATATGGGGAGAATAGCAAGGCAATGACCTTTGTGGGGTTATAAGAATGTATAGAAGCTCTTCAAAGGACAGATGGGCCCCTCTTCCCCCTTGGGAGTCACAACAGATAATAAGATCTGCCACGCACACACATATCCCAGTCAGGCTGGAGAAGAGTTGAGCCGGAATGATACAGTGTGACAAAAGGGACATATGGGACCAAGAGGAGCTAGTGGTGCTGGTGGCAAAGTAGAAGCCATGGCATTAGGTATACCTGGCCTGAGCTCCTGCCTCTGGGGCTACTGTATAACCCACTCAATCCCCTGCCTCTGTCTCCTCATCTCTAAATTGGGGATGTTAGTGTGTGTCTCATTGGGTGGTTCTGAGGATCCAATGACAGTGTGTACGTAAAGTGCCAAGCACTGTTTAGAAGACCAAAGCTGTCATCTTGGTGGGATGCTCAGGTGTTGTGTCTTAAAGTAGGGTTTAGGGGAAAGATTGGGTCTACCAAAGTTATGGAAGCATGATCAGACCAAGGGCCAGCCAAGGGCTCCTCTAACCCTCCCTATTAGCTGGGCCTGGTGGTCCTGCATCTCTGGTGTGGACAGCAGTGAGAGGAGCGGAGTGGGAGGCTCGCACTCCCTGCTGAAACCCTGGTACTCTGCCGGCAGATGGAAGCCATAGGGAAGCTTTCAGATGACATGCGGCGCCACTTTCGCATGAAGCTCCGGAACCTCTTCACCAAGTTCATCCGCAAGTTTGGGTCTGTGTGCTGAACTGGGGGTGAGAGGTGTGGGTGAGGAGCTGAGCATTTCCACCCACTCTTCTTACCACTTCTCAGAGGTAAGAAGAGGTGGGGACATACCTTTAGCACCTTTTTCCTCCATCCTTAGATTTGACCTGGTAAAGGGGCTGCTGCCCCAGGAGTACCATAAAGTCCTGGTAAACATCCGGAAAGCCGAGTCCCGGGCCAAGAGACAACGTGCCTTGAGCCAGGCTGCTGTGGAGGAGGAAGAAGAGGAAGAAGAGCCTGCCCAGGGCAAAGGTGACAGGTAAGACCTTGGGAGGGTCCTGGGCTCCTGGTCTCCCCAACCCCAAACCTGCCCAGGCAGTGCCCCTTCGGCCCTTACCTCTCCAGGAGTGCTCTGATGTGGGGCTTCTCTGTCCTTAGCATTGAAGAGATCTTGGCTGACTCGGAGGAGGAGGAGGAGGGCAGTGAGAAGGAGGAAAGAAGCCGGGGCAGGGAGCAGCGGAAGCTGGCTCGACAGAGGAGCCGCGCATGGCTGAAGGAGGGTGGTGAGGATGAGCCCCTCAATTTCCTGGATCCGAAGGTGGCCCAGCGAGTCCTAGGTAAGGATGAAGCTAGTTTTGGTGCCAGGTTCTTAGGTGATGGGTAGGGAATGGCTTTTGTGGCAGGTCTGTGAGCAGAAGCTTAAGAGCACCCATTTGGGGACCCAGAGCCAAGCTTGTTGATCATGGTGAGGGTTGGGTTGGAACTGGCCTTCCCCCTCCTCATGCCAAACTCTGCCATACCAGCCACACAGCCCGGGCCAGTCCAGGGCAAAAAGAAGGACCATGGCTTCAAGGTGAGCGCCGATGGCCGGCTGATCATAAAGGAGGAGGAAGATGATGACAAGATGGAAGAAGAAGGTGCTAAAGGTATATCCCCACCTGTCCTGGGAACGCAGCTCTCCTGGCTGGGCCACCTGCACTTTCTTTCATGTATTCAGTTCTGTGTTCGCTTATTCATTTCCTGACCATTGTTGAGGAAGCATAGGGAAAAACAGACATGAGAAGTTTATATTTAAGGCAACTTTCTCAAACTTGTTGAGTTTCTCAAACTTCTTTGACTGTATTAAGAAATCCTTTTATGTTGCAATCAAGCCATGTATACAATACATACATAAATTGAAGCTTTCAGAAACAGTGCTTCCTTCTCACCACATGTGGTGCATGTTGTTAGTTCCTCTTTTTACCTCTTATTTCTTCTCCTTCCTCTCTTTTCCCTTCTTCCTCTTTTATTTATTTATTTATTTATTTTTTGAGACAAAGTCTCACTGTGTCACCCTCAGCAAAGTGCCGTGGCATCAGAGGTCACAGCAACCTCCAACTCTTGGGCGTAAGTGATTCTCTTGCCTCAGCCTCCTGAGTAGCTGGGATTACAGGCACTGGCCACACCGCCTGGCTATTTTTTTTTTTTTTTGGATTGTAGTTGTCATTGTTTGGTAGGCCTGGGCTGGGTTCAAACCCACCAGCTTCAGTGTATGTGGCTGGCGCCCTAGCCACTGACCTACAGACACCGAGCCTTTTTTTTTTTTTAATGCAAAATTGGCTGAAGCCTAAAGCTCCTTTAAAAGCAGAAGGAGCCAGAATGAAACCTTCCCAACTTCCAATTCCAGCATCTCTTTTCTAGAGTCCCATTTAGTCTTTCCTGGTCCCTCTCCTCATACCCATCCATTAGGTGAGAAACACCTTGGTCTTCTAGAAAATATCTATGTCCCCTTGTTCTGGTTTCCACTGCAAGGAGCTATGGGGCCTGGGTTCCTCCTCACCAGGCTCACTGCTCCCGCTGCACTAACCCACCAGCATGTGCCTGTGGACGCTTACTCATCCTCTGTGCCTCCTCGCACTTGCTCAAAATGGTGGTGATACCAACAGCTACTTCACAATGTTGTTGTGAGGCTGAGATGGCATAACACGCATATAGCATGTATACATGCTTGGTGTGAAGGTGGCGGCCATTGTTTCCTTATCTGGTCTCCTGTCTGATTCTCTCACCCCTTGTGCTTTCCTGTCTCCCTTGGTGTCCTGGTGTTTCACAGGGCTGAGAATGCCCCTCCCCTCTCCTCCTGCCTTTCTCAGATCCCCACTCTTTGGAATCCAGTCCCAGTCCTTCGTAGCCTTTCCTTAGCACCTCGGCCTCTAGGTCTCCTTCCTCCAGAACTGCTGTCAAGTAGGGCTTGCCCAGACCCCAGCACTTGGCCATGTATTGTCTTGATTCTCTTTGGTTTGTTGATTGACTTTGTTTGAGTTTCTCTTCCCTTCAGCTGGTCTGTTTCATACTACTTTATCTCCATACACAGTGCCCAGCAGATGCTGGGGAAAGTTTTCAAGCAGGAGAATGGCAGTGGTCCTGGCACAGTGGGGATATGAGTGGGGCTGGAGGAATGCCTGGAACTTAGAAAAAGCCATATTCACATCACAAGTGGTTCACCACTTCCTTGTGGGGCCATCGTGCCTAGGGCCTAGGATAAAATGGGTAAAGGAACATTGCCTCTTACAGAAAGAGCACAAGGGTCTGGGGAAGGCAGTTTTCTAAGGATGGAGTTGGTGTCCCCTCAGTCTGGTGAGCCAGGAGGAGGCAAAAGGATGGGTGAGTTTTTGAGGGGCTTCCATGGTGCTCATAGGCCTCTCTTTTGGCTCCAGGTGAGGATGAAGATATGGCTGACATCATGGAAGATGTGGGCGTCAGGAGTGTGAGTAGTTTCTACAGATGGAGGACTGGGGCCTCAGACCTAATCCTGGGTCCCCAAACTTCTTATCCCCCACACAACACACAGACATTGCTCCTGCCCTGCTTCCTTGATGCTCGTGGTTCATTGGAGGCACATGGCAGGCAGCCCAGAGTACTGTGGGTGTGTGTGAGGAGCAGGTAAGATGGCTGTCTGCTCTGAGGCTAGGGTAAGGGACTTAGGTGCCTCTGAAGTACCTGCTGGCTTTCAGTTTAGCTTGGTTGTCCAGTTGAAGTAAAAGGGGGCAAACCCCCTTGTGTCTCCACCCTAGACATATGCTGTTAAGGCTAAAAGAGCAGCTGCTAGCCTGTGTGCTCCTGTACAGTGGTGCATCACACACTGCATGCCAGACAGTATACTGAGGGCCCATGTCACCTCCTAATCCTCACAGGAGATAGGGACTCCATCATCCGTATATCAGAGGGGGGTGCAGAAGGTAGCAGCCAGCCCGAAGGCATAGGGTACATTGGATGCAAAGCAGAGATTTGAATACTGGTTAGTCTCCTGAGCCTAAAGACTTAACCCCTTTGCCACAATTAACTCCTGACAACCTGGTGGTGCTGCCAGGATGGAATGCAGACTGTACTGCCCCTGCCTGAACCAGCAAGGGTGGGGTGGCCCAGCCCATCAGCTGAGACCTGTCGCTCACATGGCCAGTGAGCAACACTTCTGGAGGCATCCTGCAGCAGTTTCTTCCCTCCCCTTCCTTCTAGACTGGGCCCAGCCCATCCAGCCTTCCTGGACATCACCCACAGGCATTGAGTGGCTAGGTTAGGGTACAGTAGAATTAGTGGAGAAGAGGCTCTGAAGTTCCATCTTGGCTTCAGACTAATCTTTCCAGGCCTGAGTTTCTGGTCTGTAGAATGGGGCTCTACAGAGACCATCTTGTAGAGTTACTGGGACAGTTTATGATACTGGGCATGTAGAGTATGTTAGCACAGAGTCTGATACGTGATTTACTCCCCTGAATTCTTGTTTTCATTAGTGTATTTGTGAAGTCTGCCGTGTCCTTGCCAGGTGCCTATCTGCCCACCATGGCCCAAGGAGCTACTTTGTCATGAGGGCATTTTGACATTGCCAAATACCATTGAGAGAACTGGGTAAAAACCAGACATAAAAAAGAGAAGCCCAGGTCAGAGGGTGCCTGAGGCTGTCAGACCCCCCTTCCCCCCAATAAATCCCCCTTGGGGGTGCCCTTAAGGAGTAACATTGGCTCTGCTTGAGAGCCCTGGTGGCCCTCCTCTCCTGCATGTCTGTTCCAGTGTAAGATAGCGCCACCTACTGATCCCCTTTTCTCCTTGGTCAGAAATCTGCCCCTCCATGAGGCCATGGGCCAGCTCCCTTTCCAGGTGACAGGAGTAGACTGCAGAAATGTGTGTCTCCAGAAGCAGACCGCCTGGGTTTGAATCCTAGTGTATATGTAAATACTTGGCACTTAGTGATGCCAAGTTGGTCATGGCTGTTCTTTGTGATTATTCACTTTCCCTAGAAATCTTTTTCCAGTCAGAGCCTCGCTGGTTCTTTCTACATACCCACTTGTGGTTCTGTAATCCCTGGCAGCCTATTCTTGTTCTTGTCCAGGGAAAACTGACCAGGACTGTCTTAAGTATGGCCCACTCCAGAGCAGAGTAGAGCTGGGCTGGCTCCCTGTGGCTCACTCCCCAGGATAGCCACACTCTTACTGATATCCTAGAGGCTTTTTTGCCCAGCAGTTACTAAGTCCTACTTCTCTGCCACAGTTGTAGGAACATAAAATGATGGGGAGCAAGCAGCAGCTTCCATTGAAGGCCACTGGGCTGGGCTGGCCTTGGCCAGGCACTCACTATACCAAGAACAAGTTCAGCCATCGTCCTCTCCAGTGCAGCCAGCATCACACTTTGTCCCTGTTTCTGTTTGTCCATAAGGAGCCCACTCTGCTAGGCTTCAGCCAGTGGAACTGGACACCCCCCCCCGTTTCCCAGATACACCCTGTGTATACTCTAGCTTGTTCCCTCTGCCCAGGCTGATCCTTTTTCCTGGTGTCCCCTCCCCTGGTTGGCCCCCCAGTCTGCAGTTTCTTTTTTTTTTTTGAGACAGAGCCTCAAGCTATCCCCCTGGGTAGAGTGCCATGGCATCACAGCTCACAGCAACCTCCCAACTCCTGGGCTCAAGTGAGTCTCCTGCCTCAGCCTCCCAAGTAGCTGGGACTACAGGTGTCCACCACAACGCCTGGCCATTTTTTTGGTTGCAGCCATCGTTGTTTGGTGGGCCCGGGCTGGGAATTCGAACCCACCACCTTAGGTGTATGTGGCTGGCGCCTTAGCCACTTGAGCCACAGGCGCTGAGCCCAGTCTGCAGTTTCAAGCAGCTTCCAGGGCCCTGGGGCATAAACCGCAGTGTGGGGTCATGTCTTTTTGCTCCTCCTTCCTGCTCCTCGTGCCTCCGCCTGGCCTGATTGTCCCTTGCCAGGCTGAAATGCCCTGATGAGCTGAGGCT